CATGAAGTCTCAAGATAGTTGTGTTAGTGCATTCCCAAGTCGCCACCAGAGGCAGTCGACGGCCCAATCGGATCTTAAAAAGATTTATCACATTGCAGCTAAGCTACCTAAACGCCAGTTAATCCTGGCATTGATTTACTATTACCTGCGCTGCCGGATGGCATGGACCACTAAATCCTGATCGTGAAAGACTACTGCGAGTACAAACCGCAGCTCTCTGCACGTTGCAGTTTGACACTCAAGAATACACTGCAAGAACGATAAGGCAGAAACCACTGACAGCAGTATGAGTCATATATGGCTGATATTATTTGTTAGGAATGTATCAACTGTTTTCCTTTGATCTCTATGGCTCTGTCACCAGGCTTTTACCTATCTGTGCAACAGACCGAGGATATTTGAAAGAGGCGATAGCAACCAACCAGACTATGCAACAAGAATTCGACATTGGTCATTACTATTTAAACTTTCGACTCATGATTCATGTAGTGGATAAAATCCTATGTAATAGAAAGACAAAAACTGAAAACATCGTTTGGCTAACCCTGATTGCAACCTTTTCAACATTCAAAGGAAAAGGATAAAAAGATAAAGGATAAAGCTCTCCGCGTTGATCAATCCTTTAGAGATGCGCCCATACATTCGACTTCATTCAGCATTGTTTGGAGGTGATTTTACAATGACTCGAGGTGGCGTACCGATGTATCGTATCGTGCCAGTGCTGCTATCCTCCCAGACAACTCTGGTACCAATTTGTCGACCCCGGAGGGATGGAAGGCATGGTATGCCAAGGGGAAGAGGATCGATCCTATGTGCATTGCAAGGCGCCCCGGCCACTGCGCCATACGAAGCCATCGGAGCGGAAAGGATGCTCACATAAAAACATGGTGTTCTAAATCCCTGACGGACGCGACTGCCGTTGACTTTATTAAGCATCACTGAGGATTTTGAATTCATATGCGCATTAAAGAATGGCTTACGGAAACCTAACGATGTACCCAAGTCAGTGTTTTAATCCTCTTAAACCAGTCTGGAAGCAACCAGTCGACCCCGGATGGGTGGGACGCCCAGTTGGTAGAGAACGCATAATGGAAGCAAAGATCTTGCGTGTATTACAGAGCATCTATACTCACTGCGCCATGCGCGCCCACATTCATGTATTCCTTCAAAGCTGATCAAGAAATATCTGGATCCCACATACAGTCAGCTCAAGAATTGGTCACACCCCTCGCTCAGCCTTAACATTTACTTCTCAACCTTTAGGTACTTCCTAGTCTTTTGACACTAAACGATAATTTCTCAATAACTAGAGGACTTGAGGAGTTGTGAACATAATGGAACTTTAGAAGAGACTCCGCTCTATCGTTCTATAGGGACAAGTGGTATGCACGTCACTATTTACTACATGCCACGATGGTCCATCATGCAAACACATTAATTTTAGAAATGCTTTGCAGCTTATGTGTTTGTTTTGCTACTTTTTTTCATCTTATATGTCTACTGCCGTACTTTTCATACCCAACCATTCCATATGATAGCTATGATTCATTATGACGACTATAATTAAAATAATAATCAACTTCCAGTCAATTACGGTCAATGAACTCATTTGAGATAAGTGTAGGAGAGAGGTTCTTTGCCGAAACTGGTCATAACATCGGTGTTGAGATCAAGCATAAAGCTTCCAGCGTTGATCAATCCATAAGGGATGCACCATGCATTCGACTTCATTAAGCATCGTTAGAAGTGACTGAATATTATATACCTGGCCTATATAACTCCCAATAGCCTGCCGACGCAACGAGCCAGTGCTGCTATCCTTCCAGACAAGTCTGATACCAACTGACCGACACGACATAGATGGAGGGTTTGGTGAGCGTGGGGCGCGAGATAGATCACACGTGTATTGCAGGGACCTCTAATAACTGCGCTATACGTGCGATGATGGATAACTTATCGACGTTATATGAAATGTAGGAAAAGGGTTCCGTGTGTCAAAATAAACTATCAGAAAGAGGAAATGACCTCTGTAGAGATCATAGAGGCTACAATGTCCCCGTATAAATCCTCCTACAGAGGTCGCATTATCGTGTAAGTCTTAACGAAGCATTTTAGTGAAACTTTATTTTGGAAATGAAAAGAAATTTTACTCCTGAAAACCGAAATAATAAGTTCACCCGTGACGGGGCACGACTCGGTATGCAATTGAAGAATGTCAGCTATGGGAAAATATGGCAATGTGCCAAGAAGTGAATTAAAACAATACGAGACACAAGTGAAATGAGTCCAGAGGTTCATACAAGTACCACTGACAAAGAATTGAAAGTAGGAAAAATTTTCACCAATGGATGTACATGGGATTAAGAGCACCGAAAAAGAGAACAAAGTGCTATATAACTGGAAAGTAGCACCAAAATATCACATGTAGAATAAAACAAACGTATGCACATCACCGAAAAGTCGACAACAGCTATTGAGTAAGTACGACTCCTCGGTACGGACCCTGCATCTTCAGGTACTGAAACATACGCGCATAAGAACTTTAAAAAAAATAACTATAGGATTCGAAATGTAAAACGCTATCAATGTCATCAGTTTACTTCACCAATGAAATATGTAAAAGAAGCACTCCAGACTATTTCATCTTAACCCACTTGGATTTACATTACTAAAAACATGCAAATTATATGAAAAGATGGTGAAGACTTATAAAGCAACAAAAGGCACGATAAAAATATGTGCCCACCTTACCCTACCTCCTCCCCTCCATGTACCAACCTATCTATTCCAGAAGTGATGGCCACTAAATTGTAGTAAAATGTGGACATGTGGGCAGAATGAGTGCAAAGTTTCAAGAAGCTGCACAGCTGATGACCAAACCCAAAACACTTATCGTAATATGGTCAACTACGTGACCAGGCTGATCACATTCCTGCGTTCAGACATAATCGTCACTGCATGAAGAACAGTAACGGAGATTATCTACGAGTTCTTCGAAAACTAAGTCCAACTACTTCCATACCAAGTCGGGAATATGGCTATGTTACAAAACCTTCCATTTTTGCCTTCCAAAGTGTGAATTGCTACTTGGTCGTCATGGATTCGCATAGCGCTTAAACCCGATAGTCTCCGATACTGACACTTTACAGGAGAAATAGAATCCCTGCAGCACAACAATACCGAAAATGTAATGATGAAGACAAAAACACTAGAATGCATTCAAAACTTTTTGACTTTACGATTGTTCTGGTCCTTACGAACGCTTTGAAAACATATGCGTGACGCAGACCAAGTGGAAGATTAGTCAGCGTAACTGAACAATGACAGAGTTGTGCCAGGAACATCACGCAAGCGGAAGACATGAACGTTCTAGAAGAAAAATGTCATGCTCTCGAATTATCAGAACATTAAGCAACTGTGGGACTCGACAGGACCAAATGCAAATTACTGGCTCCCATTTGAGTTACTCAACGATCAATGAGAGAACAGGTGATGATAGTTGATAGGCATCTGTCGTAGACTAAATGTGCCTGAGTGTAACTCCATCGAAATCACGTGGTAAACACCTTTCGAAGGAGACAGAAACTTTAGGCTCACTCAGATATCAACACAAGGGATGTGGACGACATCTAAAAAATTGCCATTGAAGATCTAGTGAAGTGAAGATCTAGTGAAAGATCTAGTGAAGTTGTGCTTCATTGGTATAGCATGCTCTCAAAATATTGCTGTCCCAAAGGCTATTGAAAAGTGTAAATCATACTTGTTGATTCAGAAATAAGCTGTGGGACTCCAAGTTGGAATGAACACCAAACGAAACAAAAGGTGAAGGAGAGCTCAACAACCAAAATTGGACTGCGAGAAAGCAGTCTTAACAACGAGAATTTCTCAAAGTTCTATTCCTTCTACGTGTGAAGAGGAATTAAAAGTACCATCTTCTTCATGAGTTCCGTGTTATTTCCTTCTTCTTCCACTGTAAGCCCAGACCCGACGATCTATTTATTTACATGATCGGACCCCAAATACCGTGGATCGCAACATTTCTTTCACTCGGACTGTCTCGCACCAACCATCCACAAAGGATTTGCTTTTGGATGTGGCTACCACTTGAGAACAGAACTTTCTCATTTCCATTGACGTCCTGCGAGCTAGTCCAAGTAATTCTCACTGGAATTCTCAGATAGCCCTACTAAAGTTTCAGCCAAGTCCTCATCACAGACAGTGGCAGGCCTCTGTGAATCGGAAGCTGTTCGCAGACAACACTAGTAGGAACTTACTGAACAAACAGGAATACGAGGCTTCTTTGCGTCGGCTTTTGGTTGAACTAGAAATTGCGTGTGTATTACAACTCATCCATAACTACTGCGCTTTCTACAACCTTTCCTATCCTGTCCGATTATCTATATTTCTCATCCTCCTGTAAAATGTGGTCGGCTCAGTAGAAAGAGAGTTAAAAGAATTTGTGCTTAACAACGACGTAGTCATAACCTCCTCTGGTCCTCTGCTATTTTATTACAAACAAGGGATAATTTTTAGCAGGATTAATCTGAGCTGAAAATTCGGGTTTCCTGAAGTAGAGCTGCTTCTCCGTATAAGCAACATCAAACCCTTCGAAGAATGAATATCGGGTCTTCATAACAACTCGACATCCACGAGTGCTACTCACTCATTGTAAAATCATATAAAACTTCCGCACGACTCGAAAACCTATACGATCCTGATATCCATAATAGTGCTGAGGTGATTGCAAAACTCCAGACTGCTGGTGTTCGCGGTGGGGACCGAACACGCTATTACCCCTTCCGGGGGCTAACACGTTCACCACCACACCATGCGAGTCCTTCGTTTCGCCTTTCTCTCAGCCGTGTTATTGACCTGTGTGCTATCAGCAATCTTGATATCGTTCTCTTCAAGAAAAAAAAAACGATATAATGCACTACAGAAAATTAAAACTACTCATGTCTCTGGTATAAGTTTATAATATAATATAGATTCAACTAATACTATCTACGGATATTTACACGACTTACCTGAATTACAAGACTAGGTCCTCCAGCAGTTATTTCGGGAGGGATTTGACTAAGCGGACAATTTTCGATAGACATTATTTCCAAAGAAGAACACAGGGCGAGCTCAAAAGGTAAATTATGTAGTGATGAGTTGTCATTGAGATACAAAGACTTCAGACAATCCAAATGACCTGAAAATCAGTAAATTTTCAAAAATTTCCCCAAAGGAAAAACCAAGAGCTGGCTACCGAAAACCCACCAATTTCTTCAGGAATGGATGACAGTGAATTTTCGCCAACTCGTAAATCTTGGAGACTGGCGAGGTTTCCAATAGTACGAGGTAAACTTACGAGTTTATTTGATTGTACCCACAATTTCGTTAACTGTAGTAGAAATCCTGAATTTGAAAAATAATAGGAATCTTGAAATATGGGTTACTTTCTTTGCTCACCTATTTCACTTGGAATAGTTTCCAAGTCATTTTCCTCCAAGTCAAGCTCACGCAGTTTTTTAAGGTTTCCTATTTGAGGAGGTAACTTCTTAAGCTGATTGTTAGACAAAACAAGAATCTCCAAGTTTACCTAAAACGAAAAGCACTCGACACAGCGCAAAAAAAAAACAAAACAAAAAAGAGAACGAACATAAAGCAAGCAAAAAACGGAGAGTAGAAAGTACCAATTTCTCGATGTCCTCTGGAAGAACTTTCAGCTGGTTTGTCGAGAGGTTTAGCTCTGTTATCGATGTCCAACTTCCCATATCTGAATCGAAGAAAAGGCGAAATAGGAACTGGTAGAATGAATTATCCTTACCTAATGGTAATGACAACAGCTCGTTCTCTTTCAAGTTCAATTTTGTAAGACCAACAGCTCGCGAGAAAATACCAATTGGGATTTTGTTTATCCGATTGTGTTCCATGTTGATAGTCTAAAAAGTGCCACAATAAATAGTATAGAAATAACTGACATATATGGGACATGCAAAAGTCTGAAAGAGAGAAACATTTGACGTTGAAATCATCTGTCGATCAAATTGGATCCGAGACGGTTTGTTATTGTATTCCACAACTTCAGATTGTTATTGCAATGCTAACGCATTGGTTTTCATTGGAGTTCTGAGCTAACAGTCTTAGGGCTTTCCTAAAGCTTCAGCAGAGAAATTTAAAATCTGAAGTTGATAAAAAGGTTTTATACCCAAGAGCTACCATCCACCTAGAACGGCAGCAACTGCTGGGACTATTCGACCATTTAATAGATGATGAATATCACGCTAAGTGCAACCGATAAACCCATCAATCAATCAAATTGCTCTAATGATTTCATAACACAACAGATCAATAACCTCAGATTATGACACATTTGGCCAATTCCTTCTTCTCAAAAGAACGATTTGCTACTGAGAATGAATTCTATAACAACTACTTGTTGCAGCTAAGCCGATGAGTGCTTTTTATTCCCTATAGATATGTTTCCTAACAAATCACCAAGCGCTAACGAATTGGAGTTTTGCAATTATGAAGCGATGACGTTTCACAAGCATTCATCGCTATGCATCGCCACGCTGTGGCTACGCTCCCAAGTGACTACCACGAAAGCATAGCTCCAAAGAGGCCGAACTTTTAAACGGATAAAAACATACTCGATTGTAGATAGCTGAAAGACAGGCGAATCGAAGAACCCGCATGGTGTGGTGGTGAACGCGTTACTCCCAGGAAAGGACAATGGCGCGTTCGTTCCCCACCGCGGACGCCTGCGGTCCGGAGTTTTGCAAATATCTCAGTATCATTAAAGTTATACTCGATAGTGTCGTTTGGAATTTGGATATTACTTACTTGGATACTTGGATGGGCTGTCTTCACTGGTTGTGTGGTCTTCAGCACAATTTTCATTCCCTGAAGAGCTGCTGGCTTAGCCGTGTTTCCCTGACGTCCTGATGACAGCTTGGCCAAAGTCCGTCATAGGTCGTCATCACCATAGGTAGTCGCCTTCTTTGTGTATCACAGAGAGATTTGCCATCATGCGACTAGTTTGATAGCAGGATGGTGGTGGATCCTAGTATGTATCGGTATTGGTTTACTCTTAGCTGGGCTTCCTGACGGAAACGCCCGACTCCTTCTCAGCTTGGGAGACCCTGCCAGGGTATGGATCCCCCAACTGAACCTCACAGCCTGACACCCAGGAACACTTCCCAGCCACGATGGGGAGGTAAACCGTTGAGAGGAATATGGATGTCACAAACAAATAATCTTGACTCACAACTGCGGATACAAATTGTTGCGGTCCTCCTTGTGGAAAACAAGATAGTTCGTTCCGCGACAGATTTATAGTTCTTAACTTCGGAAGGCAAGTAAGCATACCATCCTACAAATAAGAGAATAACAGCTTCATGGATTTACGTATATTAAGAGTCAGAAACTCAAATCATTTCCGAGCACAGCGTTATTTTGACAACGATATTAAAACAAAGCAACGTACAGGAAGTTGTTGAAGATGATTCCCTTCAACAATGAACTCTTCTAACTGAGTACAGTTCTCAATAGAAGAGGGTAATTCGCGAAGTTTGTTGTACCTATAACGTCAGCGTTACAGGAATAGAGACGAAATTATCCAAACAATGCAGATTTACAGACAATAACGAGAAAAAGAGCAAAACCACAATCACCTTATGCCTAGACGAACAAGATTTTGCAATTTTCCCATGGTCTCCGGTAATTCTGCAAGGTCATTGTGTTGTAAATCGAGTTGAGTCAAGCTCAGACATTGTCCAACTTCTGGAACAACAAGGTATAAGATTCCACTACTAAAAGTCAGTTTTCGCTATTGAAAACTACTAACACTTCTATAAAAGATAAAGGATAAAGCTCTCGGCGTTGATCAATCCCTGAGAGACGAGGCATGCATTCGACTTTTTAAAGCATCGTTGGAGGTAACTGAATGCACATCTGGCTTTTTCAATGACTCGCGGTGGCCTACCGATGTGTAGCGCCAGTGTTGCCAACCTTCCAGACAAGTCTGGTACCACTTTTCCTGGCATAGAGGGATGGAAGACTTTGTGAGCCTGGCGTGTTGGGATCGATCCCATGTGTATTGCAAGGCGCCTCCGACCATTGGAGATTAAATTCCATATTTTCAAATTATGTGAAAACTGACATAACCTGACAGAAACAGTAGGAGTAACGTGGAAGCTTACCATCAGGAACCTTTGAGAGGTGATTGTAGCTCAGCAGGCATACAACTAATGATCGCATTTTCCCGACCGAAGCCGGTAAACTATGAATTTTATTTTCCCGAAGATCAATCATTTTGAGCCTGAAAGATGTAATGAGTATCTCAGCTTAACCAACACTCCGAAGCCAATGAAAACGAGATTAAACATTCAACTATATGAACCTCGATAAGTTTCCAATATCCTCGCCAACGGATACGATCCTGTTATATCGTAACCAAAGAGTTTCCAACGAGGTAATGAGATAAATAACAGAAGGAATCTGAATAAAAAGTTTATAGAGGAAAAAAACCTGAAGTGATTGGTAGGAGATAATGACGAACTTCGGTGAGTTTATTGTGGCGAAGATCTAACGTTTCAAGTTGCGTTAGAGAGGCAAGTGAGTCCGGTAATGAACAAAGAGCATTCTCACTCAAGCCCAACTTTCGAAGGGACACCTAAAGAACACTGAGGATCTTTCACCGATTAGAAGTAAAACTTTCAGTATGACGTTCTAACCAGGTTGCCTAGCTCGTGCGGTAATTGGGTAAGTTTGTTCTTGTACAAAAACAACTCCGTCAATTGTGTCAGGTCTCTGATAGAAGACGGTATGGATGTAATCTGCAATAGTAATGGAAATTAGGCAAAAACTATACTATGCTACAGAGTAAATACTGGTTCTCGATAGAAAAAGGAAAACAGAAATTAACGAAAAGAAATAAAAAGTAGAAGCTAACTTCGTTTGAACTGAGATCAAGCCGAAGATCGTTGTTGTCGCGACATCTCTGGAATTCGCGATGGAGATCCTGAAACACTTTCCATCTCATCTGAAGACCGCAAAGCGAACCTGTTCCTCAGTTCAGCTTTAATTCATTTCTTACTTCTTGTATTCGTTTCTTTTCGACTATACTTATTTGGATACTTGGATGGCCCGTCTTCACTGGTTGTGCGGGCTCCAGCATAATTTCCACTTTTTTCTTGAATTCTGCTGGTTTAGCTCATGTGGTTCCCTGAAGCATCGAGCTCAGCCTAGCCAGTCTGCTCCAGGTCGTCACCACCACAGGCAGTCGCCGCCCTTGTGGATCCGAGCGAGATTTACCACGATGCGACTTTGATACCAAGACGGTGGTGGATCCTGGTATTGGTTTACTCTTAGTTGGGCTTTCTGATGGAAACGATGGACTCCTTCTCAGCTTGGGAAACCCTGCTAGGGCATGAATCCCCGCCATACATCGCAGCCCGACATCCAGGAACACTTCCCAGCCATGATTGGGCGGTAAACCGTTGCGAGCGCTAGGAAAAATACCAATACGATCAATTCTGGATGATCACCTAACTTTAATAAATCACCCTCCTTGAGCATAAAAAGAGGATATTTCTGGCAACTACGACGATTTTTGTTCACTTGGTAAGCATTATCAGAAGAAAATTGTACGATTGAGTACTGAAAATGCTCTTTAACACCAAACGAAGTCCTACATTTGTTTTGGGGTCTTAAGGAACACATAGAGATAGGTGTGAATTAGACGAACCTATGACATACCCTGTACCACAAACGGGACAAACGAAATCCAATTGTGACCAAGGCACACCAACCTTTTTCGATTTTTCATTGAACGTTGCCGAATTGGACGTCTTCTCATTCAGTGAGTGTCGGGCTTTACTTCTGGCAAAATTGCTTAGACGTCCGATAACGCCAGGACTTTTCGACCGTACACCTTCCTTAGTGGGTCGAAATTCGAAATCTTTCGTATCCATATGGGCTTTGAGGCAAAGAGCCAGCGCGTCCGGAAGCCGCGCCGTACTCACACACTTTCCGCCAGCAAAATCCAGTGTAAGTCTTCTGATTCAAGAACTGATCAACACATTCAATGGATTATCGATCGATCCAACAGAATGACGAGGACGCACTTGACACACACACAAACCTAGACGAAATACATAAAGATACGGATAGACGGAGGGAATCGATAAGAAGACGAAGACAGTAGAAAGCGCAAAACGGCCGTCAACGAAAGAAGATGGCGATAATTGCGCGGCGCGAGTGATCAGCTGGAAATGGTGGTGCGAGGACCGACGCGCGGACTCGCGGACGAACGGACAGACGCGACGGACGGGATGAGTGCGTGTGTGCGTGCACTTTCCGCGTCTAATTTGCTCAGAATGCAAAGTGTAACTTGTCCGAGAAGAAGTAAAACAAGACTGATTGTCTTGTCGCGAAAGGAAACTTCACTCTTTTACAAAATGATTTTGTTTTATGCAGTTGCACGAATTTAATCGTGAAGAAATGGTGCAAAAAGGCAGGAACACTTTCTGTGTACTTAGAAGTATTCGGTCTACATAAGATCTTAGTCAACGGTATGAAGTGACAGTTTGTGATTTTCTGTTAAAAAGAATAAAAAGGGATAAAGCTCTCGGTGTTGATCTGTTCCTGAGGGATACGCCATGCATTCGACCTCATTTAGCATCGTTGGAGGTGACTGAATGCACATCTGGCCTTTACAATGACACGCGGTGGCCTACCGATGTACCAAGCCAGCGCTGCTATCTTCTCAGACAAGTCTGGTACCAATTTGCCAACCCCGAAGGGACGGACGGCTTGATGGACTTGAGGCGCCGGGATCGGTCCCAGTATGTATTGCAGCGCGCCTCCAACCACTGTGCTACACGCACGTGATTTTCTGCCACATTACGTGTAGATCAAATTTGAGCACTGCAATAAAAGAAATAAACTGGATTCGATTCTGATTCAATACAGTACCCTATGAAGAAAAATGAAACCACCATTGTTGTCGAGTGTGGCAGAGAAAAAAAAAAATGAAGAACTCTCGTTAGTGGTCGAATTTTCTCAGATTAAAAAACGCCTTAGGGTGAAATCGTTAACAACTGGTGAAGAAAATGGATGGAGAATGAAAACCAAATGCTTAGTCGTCAGTGAGGGAGGTATCTAGACAACATGATATGGTGCTCCTGGCTCTTACGTAAACTACAAAAATTGTTGTGACAAGAATGTCTGCAGTCAGATACACGATAACTGGTTATCTCTGCTAACACAAAGTCACACTGATAACGAACTCGACATATACTGAGCAGCGAGATTCTCTGAATGATAAGCTGTCACCTTAGTACCCAAAATTAGAGCCATTCTTATCCATCAACAAGCTAACTTTAGTGTTACGACAACAGTATCCAACTAAGGGGCTGTTTCTTCAGAAATCCAAGGTATGAAGCAAAAATGATACTCTGTAGGTAAGATAGAGAGGTAAAGCTTGTGAGGTAAAAGCTACAAGTAACTAATACCTTTGAAATGGATGCATTACATTTCTGATGAGCTATTACCCATCCATGTGAGGTCTACACGGTTGGTCTCCACATGGGATACTCGGCAAAAGGCTCACAGAAAGCTGTGAATGTGTGAAGAGGCTGTTTCATACTCTGTGCTATTGAAAATTAGGATTCACGGCTTATCTGTTAGGTTATGGAGGTGTTTGGCTAACTGGGTTACGGTAGACTTAACCTTCCTAGGGTCTGAAGAAGGCGAAATCCGCCGAAAAGTCAGCTGTTGCAAATAAATACTACGTAATAACAACCTCGTACGTGCTTAACAAGAAAATAATGAAGTATATATCAATGATGAGGATAGTAAAAAGTCGGTGTTGGGAATTTACTGAGTAGTCGATTGTTACCAATCAACTAGTTCACGGCGATTTAACATCTAACTAATGTGATCGATCGATTAACAGATGTCGGTGATAAGAAAGCATAATGATGAGGAATGTGACGGGGATTGGACAGACTGCTAAGAGAGATTTCAAATCGTATACCGATCTCAAGGATTTCTTCAGTCTAATCAAGTTTAAGTGAAACAAGCTGATAGGGAATTAAAGGGCAGTTTAAGGGGAAAATACCGCGCTCCAATTTCGCGAGCGAATTCGGTGAACGACGTCGTCTCGTGGAGGCGAAGTCGACGACGACGAGATACCGGTTCCCAGTCAGGTGTAACCGTTGTATTGTGACGATTTGCTCACTAACAACATTCCAATAATGACAATGCTGATCAAGAGGAATCGTCAATGGTCTGTCCAGAAACGCTCCAGAAATCACGACGTTGTGATTTCGACTACAACCTCAGCTTAACTGGCTTTCATCCCAATTTGTGCTCCCCAGATCATTCACGTTGACTGATGATTGCTGATGGCAGCGTTAGGTAGAAAACTGACAGAGAAACGCACAGCAAGGGACGCAGTGGCGCTGTGGGTAAACATGAGCCTCCGGAAAGGGTAGTTGCGCGTTCAAATCTGGCCTGGGGTTCAAGTTTTGCAAACATCTCAGCACCATAGTGGCTTTAAAGATCCTTTTAAGTATTTCATGGCTTATCTAGTTGTTGATAGATAACGTACGCGGAAATTTGCCAACGTAATGATTTGTCGAGTCGTGAGTTTTGTTTAAAAAAGAAGCCATTGAAGTGGATAGAATCACTATAAAAACAAGGAAATTTTGCTGTTTTTCGATTAAGGACAAGTCGAACTTGTAAACTCGGTTTTTTCTTTGGAGGTGGCGGTGAGGGGGGAGGGGTAAAAAATCATGGACGACACCCAGTTTCTCTCTCTAGACTCTATGGACTCTAGAAGTTTAAATTCAAATACGGCTAGATCTCTAAGAGGTTTTCTTGGCTTATTTTGCGGAAGTGAGCAAAACCAAGGCAAAATAAGAGCTAAAAGTCTTGAACCCTGAGAAGAATAAAAAAGGATATTAAGCTTTATGACTATGTGAGCGATAGCCTAATCCTAACGATCGTTTTCAAAAAGCAACTAAGATGAGCGTATGTTGTTAGACATGATCTTATACTTTTAGCTTTCTCATCGAAAGTTAAGACAATGAAACAGCTAGCAAAGCTTATGTGTGAATTCAATTCGAAGACGCTGGACGGACGAGTTTATCGATTCTAAAACTTTGAGGAACTGAGGGCATTGTGTAATGGACGAGTGTGAGGCATCGATCAAACTCATTCGAAAGAGCAAGCCAGACCACGGCTATGGTTCGTGGTCAGAACAAGCCGAACTCGCACTGTTCTCGAAAGTAGTAAGAAACACTTTTTGCGAACGTTCAATTTTTGAACTGGCGCTGCCTTTTTCACCGGGTCATGAAATGCATCCTGTTACGGTAATCGTTGCCATTTTATTCTATAATGGAAATGTTTCAACAGAATAATGTGGACATCCGAACTTCGTTGACGGGACTCTCTATTTTAAGCGTCTTAGAAGAAGGAAAATATGATATATCCGTACGAACTTTCGTGGAAGAAACACGAAAACAGCACCCGTCACCACTTAGCGCAGAACACGTTTTTTCCAATGCATACGACTTATCGGGTTTCACTTTAAATGATGCGAATAGGTGAAATGACAATCTGAAGGCCATTCACTAGGGCTTTAAGATGAATGTTTGAACCATAGAGATGTCTACTTTGTCTATTACACTATTCACTGATAGTCAAGCTACGTTAACATTCCTTTAAGATTCCCTTGAGAAGAAGAAACCCTGCATAGTAGCGATCAGACTAATCGAATCTATAGAAAAATATGAGCTTTCCTACCATAGGCGCTTTCGAAAGATTAGATTTTTGTCTAAAATTTGTATAATGCGATTCAAAAATCCATAAATTAAAGCCTTGAAAGAGTTAGAGAAACGGTCTCAAACAATGAAAACCAGTAGTTTTAAGAGAAGAAATATCACATGGGAGTTTCTTCATGGTCCGTCGAGCGCTGAACAAAGTTATTCTACTAGAGCTTCTCGTCAGCCAATTTTATAAACATAGAATTTTCTGCTGGAATTGATGAGAAACAAGAGTGCAACAGCAGGGCAGTTTTTCTGTTGTCTATGGAGAGCGATTAGCTTCGAATGCAGCGAAAACTAAAGCCGCCATCGACAAAGTAGGAGAGAGATTCGGCAGAGAGGTGAGGTTAGGGTCACTTGATAAATAATCCACTAAAATGCTACAAATTACGAAAGATCAAAAACGTGATATATATTAGTAGGTTTGCAGATAGATTAATAGATTCATAGATAAGCTTAGCGAATGCATTGATTTAAATGCAAAATATCAGAAAGTAGTCGCGGAATTCAGCAAACATATCTCAACTGGCTGTGAATTTCATTAAGTGAAATAGAATCCATTATAATCTACAGATGTCTGCCTACAAAAAACCTCTTCGCACTATAGTTGGAATGAAATTCTTATTTAGTGAAAGCCATAAATACGGGGTTTTTTTTTGGCTTTTTCCCCATCGAAGCTTATATCTCGATCGCTGAATACCCCATCAATGTTTATAGTTGCCGCGATTGCGATCAAAAACCTTAAATCCAAATGGCCTTTCAATCTATCGAAAGTTTGAACTTCTAAACAAATCTAGGGGTTAAAGGACATTTCAGAAAGGCTACAAATAACTTTAAGTTATGAGTTCGTCAAGCGTTTTCGTTATCAAAGAATTAAAGGTCGTTGTCAAAAAAACACGAGCGGTCACTGAAGTGATTTTTTCATTGAGCAGCTGTTTAAATGTACGTTTCTGTGTGTACTTGGCAGCGACACTTATGAAAACGCAAGCAGAGAAGTTTGCCAGAATAACACCATTCAACGGCAGTTGTCTTGGGCTATGTGTACTGGTTGGTAGCGCTGATAATGGAACTCCTTTTTTGAATCGTAGGGCTTTCGATTCATACAAAAAACAGCTCACAATGGTTTAATCATTTCAACTCTG